TTTAAAATTTATATACTGGAAATCTGACTTAAAGCTTTCAAATGTTTTATTGCAAGATAATAGAAATCTGAAAAAGATCTTTTTGAATTAAGAAAAAATCCCAAACTTGACACTAAGCAGCTTCACAGTATGACAGGATTAGGTTTCCAACTTCCTTGATGAAGATTAAAAATCCTAACTAATTTTCTTAAAACCAAATCCTGAAACAGAAAATTCTCTATATATGTGATCAAAACCAACTGAATGCTATAAAATTTCACACACCACTGAATGTGGTTTTACCTTTATAGTGTTAAGCAGATTAATACAAGATTGCACACATGCCTACCAGCAAAACCACAGATCTTTTGAGTCATAGATAAATTCCAAGAATGTGCTCTGAGGTTGGGGGTGAAGGAGAAAGCCAAGTTTGATTTTTAGGTTGTATATGGTGTTTGAATTAAATCACTTCTCCCTTGAACCTCTGTTTCCATGATTCAGCCATCCAACCTGCTCCATTCTTACTCCCTGCAAGCTGCATTAATAATTACGGGATGAGAGAAACCATTTCATTTAAGTCACTTGGAAGAAGAGGGCATGGCTCATGACATCACCCTGATCCTCCAGTTTGCTTAGGAAGTAGGAGGCTCTCCATCTCTCTGTGGACAAACGTGACATCAGGCCGTAGAAAAGCCAGGGACTAGGGAAACAAATGGCAGCAGAACCCAGTCATCAGTTCCTCCCTGGCTTAAGTTTGGTCTAGTTGTAACTGGCTCCAGTATATAAATGAGTCACTGCCATATTAAGTGTCTCTCTAGTGTTATAAATAGCAGACACATGCATACTGCCCATTTTTTTGAAATGTTGTTAGATTACAACCTCTATGGCCATGGCTGAAAAGCTCAATTTGGTAAAACGGTTTGTTTTTCTGGGAACAAAGAGAGTAAGGATAAGGAAATAATGAACTTTAAAAAGTCAACTGAGAAAGAATAAATAAACTGAACTATTGAAATGTGGAGCATAAATTCCATGCAAAGCTCACTTTTTCTTTCAACTACTGTAGCTGACCATTTACAGTACATAAGAAACTAGTAATACCTTATCCCGAAACAGGGACTCTGTCTAATCAAGAAGCATAATGATAAATGGGTGGATTCTACCAGAGGATTCAGGGCACAGCTACCATAAACCTTTATGCAAAGCACACAGCAATTATATATAAGAAAGACACGAAGTATGTATATTAAAAAGGTATATCATATATATAAACAATTGACAGCACTGAAAATGGGAAAGGGGGATTGTTTTGTTTCTATATTGAGAAAAAACTCATAGTACTACAGCTTTATTTATATTGATTTAGTGATTATGCTAATAGAAGCTAATATCACTGAGCTAGTGCTGTGATTCCCACTTTACAGATGAAGTCTGAGACAGGAAGAGGAAATACTACAGTGGGGAGCTACATTCAAGGCCTGCTCTGCCCACCTGGCCATCTTCGTTTCAGGAAGGAGGTAAGGGGTTATGCATTCCACATTGAGGATAACTGGGTGATCCTGAAACTATTGTTTTTAGTTGCTAAGTTGTGTCTCTTTTGTGACCCCATGGACAGTAGCCCGCGAGGCTCCTCTGTCCATGGGATTTCCCAGGCAAGAATACAGGAATGGGTTGCCATTTCCTTCTCCAGAAACTATTAATGAGACAGAACCCAATATCAAAAGAAATTCTCTCAAATTAGACAAATATCGAAATCTCAATTTCTCTATCTATCTAGAACTAGTTCTCCTGTTTGGCTCTTGTTCTTTGAATTCCTGTAGCCAGAAATCCTACCAGGGCAAGGTGGGGAGTACAGTTTAGGCCATGAGATGTCACAGTTCCCTCCAGCCTCAGTGTCAACCTCCTTAAAAGTTTCAATTGTCAGAAAAATGCTAGACAGTAGAGACGATTAAATTCGATGAGAAAACAGGCCCAGAGAGTTTAAGTAATGTGGTGATGGTCACATAGCCAGTAAGTAATAGAACCAGGATGTAACTACAGAAGAGACAGTATCCAGAGACCTTACTCTTTCCACTTACCACACTTAAAATAGCGGTTTCAACATTTTAGACACACCTTTAAAACCTATCTATGAAGCTATATGGCATATAACTACATAAACTAATAGACCATATCTGTGGGAAAACCCCTCAATTTTCCTGTTTATAGTCATGAAGATTCACTCCAAATTATCACTGTTTTTTTTGACAGACACTTGTATAATTCAAATGTCTGGCTTCCTCACATTAAGCAGTGTCTTTTAAGAGTACTGATTCTGGTAACAGTTGGATACGAAGGATAATGCTCACCTAAGTAATAGACATCTTCACCCTTTATGTTCAACAGAATTAGATAATAAGCCCTCTGATGATACCAAACAGTATTTCTTTTTGAAATGTTCACATGCGGGGTTTTTCAGAACAACTCACACCAATCTTTATATCCAAGAGCATCCTGTTGCACCCAAGGGGAAATTGTTTTAGAACTGAAAAATTTTGTTCCACATATCCACTGTTACCAGAGAGTATGCTCAAAGCATGTTTTATCAAGCAAAACACAGGGTTGTGGGCCAGTATTTAATCATTTGCTTTGAGCACATTATGGGTACACTCTGGGTGGGGTGGTTAGCAAGGTTCCACGGAGCTAACAGGACTGGGAAGGAGGAACAGAGGACATTCCAGTGCATTTCACTCAGACATCTCCCCTCTAATTTTTGGCCTTTTTGCTTTTCATCTGTGCTCTAGTCCTGGCACAAACTGATAAAAGCTTTGTTGTGTGGCTCCTCTCATCTTTCCGTCAGAATGCACTCTTACGAGCAGCAAACTAATGTAAAGGTGGTCTCTAAGTAGTGGGAGAGGGATGGTCTGTGGGCTCCCCACCACACGGCAGCACATCCTGAGTTCGGTGGAGCCCCGTCATCCTAAGGGCACAGCCTCTGGTCTCTCTGTAGAACAACTGGTGATTTGAATTGCATTTCATTTTGCTGAAGATGAGAGTTTCTAGCATATCAGCAACTTGATTGCTGGCAGCCAGCCCATTTGGTACCTTTTCTCAAATCCATGATTTTTGGATGCTTCTTTTCTGAGGTTTTCTGTATAATGCTTTTCAATAGAGACATCCTACTATCAATAAAGAAAAAAAAATTCCTTTAAGTCAGACAAATACCTACATCTCAATTTCTCTATACTTAATCTAGAAATAGTTCAGGCACTCTGGAAGTTTCATGGAAGTTGGGAGTCACTCAGTGAATACCTCCTGAGCACCAGCGATGAGCAGGCACTATTCCAGGAGCTGGAAATAGAAGTACAATACACAAATAAGCCAAATGATGCCATTACAGTTTGATATACTATTTATTTAGTTATTAATATGGACAGCCTATTATGCAACATTATAGATATCTTTCAAAACCTAAAATACAGTCCACTATCCAGCCCAGGAGGAGACAATGCACAAGATCATTCTTACAGTAAATGTAGCATAAGCACTCACAATAGTTGTCCTTTTCTTGGACATCACAGGGAACAGTCAGTCAAAAGGTTCTTTTACTTCCTCTGGGGTTTTAACTTTCTTGAATGACCGCTATTTCAGAGTCAGAAGTCCGCCTTCGAGCCCTCCCCCGCCGAGATGTGCAGCATCAGTGTTGGAGAGCAAGGAGCCCGCCTTACCTTTCAGCCAATATTCATCAAACTTGAGCATACGGAAAAGGCAGGTATGTCACGGGGGTGTTCTGGTTAATTTACAAAGATTGTGTTTCAAAGCTCTAAAAACCCGTGTGGTGGTGGAAGAAGTGGCAGTGAAGAGTATGCTACATTTTGCCAAGGAGGTCTTCTCATCTCTTGAGTCTTGGCACCGTCACTTTTCCGTTAGGCTTTAAGATCTACTGAAGTTCTCTGTGAAAAGTAGAGGTGGGAAGTGCTAACAGCTACTAGTATCAGGCCATCTGCAGAATAAACTGGACTGGCTGCTATGGCTTTTATAACCTGCTTCCTTTCTTTAGACAAACATTTCTGAAACTTTTTCTGTATGTCCTGCTAGTTCTCAAAAAAAATTAAAAGGGCTAAGACTGACGAAACTTCTGGCTTTCAAGCTGGATGGTGATAAATAAAACAAAATCCATTCTCCAATGAGCTATACTCAAATTTCTCAGTTGAAAACAAATGCCAAGTGATTTTTAAGGACATGTGCTGGACACTATTAACTGATGGAAGAAATTCTGAGGTGAAACTGTACATATACCAAAATCTAAAATATAGGCAAAAAACAAGATGTATTAGTGTAATATTCTTCAACCCCTTAGTTTTCTGTTGAAAACTACAGATGTTTTCAGCATCAGGCTACTGATGATGGCCAATTAAATATGAAATTAAAAAACCTCAGGAAGTCTTGCCAAGTTTGTGGCAGTTTCAAGAGTCTACAAAGGAAAAAGAAGAAACCATAGGGTAAAGAGTGAGAGCGTTGGACTTTATTTAATTCTAGGTACCATGGATTTGACATTAGTAGGTAAGACTAACGAATAAGCAGCCATACAGGTTTTTTGGTCGCTGTGCTTTCCAAGCACCAATAAATGGAGCTTTTTTACTATTCAATCCCATCTTTTGTGCACTGATCAGATCCTGCTGCATTCTCGTTTGTTTCTAATTTACCAGTACATGAGTATGTAGATTACCAGGGGTGAGGAGCAAGTCACTGTGTAGTACCAAGTTTACATCATCACAGGACTACAACATGCACGTTCTACTTAATGTAGCTCAAGCAACAGGAATACAAGAAAACAGTTATGGGTGGAGACTTGTTCTTGACGAATTCGGGTTCACACTAACTATGGGTTTAGAAATCTTACGGGGCAGGTCCCTACAGCAGTTCTTCAGTTGGCATTGGGACGTTACACGCATGCACAAGTGATGTGGAGGAGGATGGCGCAGAAGAGGCAGCTGGATGGAGGACAGAGGGGAAATGAGAGGGATGTCGGGGAGGGGCAGTTCTCAGCTTTCCACAGCAAGCCTCTGCTCTGTGAGACAGGCCTGCTGAGCAACGCTTTTGTTCTCATGACTGCGAAGTTTAGACACAACGTCTAGAAAGGCCAAATCCTGTACCTCCTTGTGCAGAGATTCTGGAAGACAAAAACAGGACAACAGGTATGCTTCTATTAGATTGTTCTAATCTCACTATACACACTACCCAAAACATATACCCAGAATGCTTGGTTAAATGATGCTGAGTTATAAAAATAGATGTGTTTTAAATTTTGTGGCAAATAAAAAGGTTTTACCTCTCCAGAGGGAGGGGAAACACGTATACTTACAACAGACTCATGTTGCTGGGCAGCAGAAAGCAACACGACATTGTAAAGCAATTATCCTCCAATTTAAAAAAAAGTTATACCTCACCTCCTTTCAACAGATTTCTGTGATAGCAGACTCCTTTTCAGATTTCCTATCTTCTTTCTCTTGCTCTATTTAACTTCAATTACAGTAAAATACAGGATTCCTCTCAAGGCCATTAAGTTTAATGTAATTAGCATTCCTCAAGCTGGTGTATTTATTTTGATAAAACTGAGGTATAAAACCAGTTGGAGTAGCAATACTCAGATTTTAAAATAATTGATATTTGTAGAGCATTCCATCCAAAAGCAGCAGAAAACACTTTCTTCTCAAGTGCACGTGGAACATTCTCCAGGACTGACCACATGTTGGGCCACACAGTGAGCCTTGGTAAATTTAAGAATCTTGAAATCACATCAAGTATCTTTTCTGACACAATGCTATGAGATTGGAAATTAACCATAAGAAAAACTGTAAAACATACACATGTGGAAGTGAAACAATATGCTATTAAACAACCATTAGCTCACTAATCACTGAAGAAATCAAAGAGGAAGTTAAAAAAAAAAAAAACCTAGAGACAAATGAAAACAAAAGCACAAAAATCCAAAATCTATGTGACACAGCAAAATCAGTTCTAAGAGGGAAGTTTATTGCAATACAATCTTACCTCAGGAAACAAGAAAAATCTCAAACAATCTAGTTGTATCTAATGCAACTAGAGAAAGAAGAACTACCAAAAACCCAAAGTTAGTGGAAAGAAAGACTTAGCAGAAATAAATGGGACAGACATGGAGAAAACAGAAAAGATCTTGATAAACCTTTAGCCAGACTTTGTCAAGAAAAATGGAGAAGGCTCAAATCAATAAAATTAAAAATGAAAAAGAGGTTATAATAGACACCACAGAAATACAAAGGATCATGAGACTACTACAAGCAACTATATACCAATAAAATGGACATCCTAGAAGAAATGGACAAATTCTTAGAAAGGTACAATCTCCCAAGACTGGTCTGTTTATATATTTTTCCATTTGTTCCTGGTGCAGTAACAAGAAATGAAATGGAAAATGTGATTAAAAACTTCCCAACAAAAGTTCAGGACCAGATGGCTTCACAGGTGAATTCTATCAAGTATTCAGAGAAAAGTTAACACCTATCTTTCTTAAACTATTCCAAAAAATCAGAGGAAGAAACACTCTCAAACATTTTATGATGTCACCATCCCTGATACCAAAACCAAAGATACCACAAAAACAAGAAATTTATAGGCCAGTATCACTGATGATCACAGACAGAAAAATCCTTAACAAAATATTAGCAAACCAAATCCAACAATACAGTAAAAGGTTCACTTGAAACTATCACAACACTGTTAATCATTATTATACTCCAATATAAAAAAAAAATTTTTTTTTTTAAGGCAGAGGTATGTAATGTACACCATAGGGAATATAGTCAATGATACTGCATTAATTTTGTATGGTGACAGTTTATTAGACTTATAGTGGTGATCAATTCATAACATATATAAATGTTGAATTGCTATGTTGTATACCTGAAGCTAATATCATATGTCAACTATATTTTAATAAAAATTAAAGAAAAAATAAAAACTCAATACATTAAAAAGATCATACAACATGATTAAGTGGCATTTATCCCAGGGATGCAACACAACAAAGGATAAAAACCATATGATCATCTCAATAGATGAAGAAGCTTGTGATAAAATTAAAGACCTGTTTATGATAAAACCTCTCCAGAAAGTGGGCATAGAGGGAACAGACCTCAACATAATAAAGGCCATATAAAACCTACCTTACATCACAATACAAACATTAAGTCATAATAGATCAAAGACCTGAACATAAGAGCTGAAACTCTAAGAAACTTAAAACTTTAAAAAATTTAAAGAAAACCTAGGGGGAAAACTTTACAATGTTAGGTTTAGTAATGTTTTCTTGGATATGCACAAAAAAACCTAGGCCACAAAAGGAAAAACAGAAACTGGACTTCATCAAAATAAAAAACTTCTGGGTGTCAAAGGACACAACAGTGAAAAGGCAACTCTTGAAATAGATGAAAATATGTGTGAATCATATGTCCAGTAAGAATTTAATATATAGAACATATAAAGAATTTCAACAACCAACAAGAAACAACCCAAATAAAAAATAGGCAAAAGATTTGAATAAACATTTCACCAAGAAGATAAGATATACAGATGGCCAATGAGCAACTAAAGATCCCCAACATCACTAATCATTAGGGAAAAGCAAATCAAAATTATAGTAAGTTACCATCTGACACCCATTAGGATGGCTGTCATCAAGACAAAATAGCATATTAGTGAGGACGTAGAAATGGAACCTATGTGCACTTCTGGTGGGAATGTAAAAATGGTGCAGCCACTGTGGAAAAGGGTACAGTGTTTCCTCAAAAAATTAAACTAGAATTTTGTATATATATGCAAACTAACTGAAAGAAGGAACTCATATTTGTGCACCCATGTTCAGAGTGGCATTACTCACAACAGCCACAAGATGAAAATAATCCAAATGTCCACTGACTGGCTGAATGGATAAACAAAGTGTAATATATACAACAAACAATGGAACATTCTTCAGCCTTAAGAAAGAATGGAATTCTGACAGGCTACACATGAGCCTTGAAAATATCATGCTAAGGGAAAATAAGCCAGACACAAAAGAAAAAATATTGTATGGTTCCACTTACATAGGGTACAAAGAGCAATCAAATTCATAAAGACAGAAAATAAAACTGTGGTTGCCAAAAGCTGGGAAGATGAGTGACTAGGAAGTTATGGTTTAAAGTCTATGGAGTTTCAGTTTGGAAAGAAGTAAAAGGCCTGGAGAATGATAGGGATGACTGCACAGAGAAGTGAATGAACTTAATCCACTGGACTCTACACTTAAAATGGTTCAAATGGAAAATTACATGTATATTTTACATTAAGAAATGAACAATTATGAACATACTTGAAACAAATGATATCAGCTAGGAAACAGAAGATATAAGGAACAGAAATTTTTGGAACTCAGAACTATATACATGCAGTGGGTATGTGTATTGCATATATACACAGAAGTAGAATTGCTAGGTCATACAATAATTCTGTTTAATTTTTTTGAAGACACAGTGGCTGCAATAAAAAGCTTGATAGGCTCAAGAACAGAATGGAAAAGACAGAAGAAATAATCAGTGAACTTTAAGACAAAGCAATACAAATTACCCAGTCTGAACAAAAGAGAGGTAATAAGCTGGAAAAAACTGAACAAAACTTCAAAGCCTTGAGGGATATAACTAAAAAGCTCACATTTGCGTCATGAGAGGCCTTGAAGGACAAAAGGAATAGGGTGGGACTGAAAAAGTACCTGAAGAAATATGGTTAAGAACTTTACAAATTTAGCAAAAGACAAAAAGCCTATAGATTCAAGAAGCTGAACAAACCTTACATAGGATAATCCCAAAGAAATTCATGCCAAGACACAGTCTAGTCAAACTTTTGAAAACTATGAACAAAACAAAGTCTTACGATAGAAATGACACCTTACCTACAAGTGAAAAACAAATCCGGAGATGGTGGATTTCTCCTAAGAAACCATGGAGGCCAGAAGAAAGTGGCACAACATTTTTCAAGTTTTGAAAGAAAAGAACTGTCAACCCAGAATTCTATACAGAGAAGATACTTTTTAGAAATGAAGAGGAAATCAAGATACTCTCAAAGAAAATGAATAACTGAGGAACAATAAAGGAAATGACAATTTGTTACAAGCAGACCTAACCTAAAATAATGGCTAAAGGAAATTCTTTAAACAGGAAGAGAATGTTTTTTTAAAAAAGCAATCTTGGAACATCGGAAAGAACGAACAGATATAGCAAAGACATAGATAAATACAATAGCTTTCCTTTCCTCAAGCGTTTTCTGGATTATCTTTGATGCTTGAAAACAAATATTGTAACACTAATGTGGTTCTAAGTGTATAAAGGAGAAATATCAACAAATTGAAAAGACACATGCACCAGCACCTCCATGCAGCATTATTTACAAAAGCCAAGATACACAGCAATATAAGTGTCTGAGGGTAGATTAATGAGTAAAGAAATGATGCTGTGTTTATATGATGGAATACTACTCAGCCATGAAAAAGAATAAAATCTTGCCATTTATGACAATACGGCTGGACCTTGAGGGACTTCTAAGTGAAATGAGACAAAGATAAAGACCACATGATCTCTCTTATATGTGGAATCTAAATACCAAGTTCATTAGATACGGACAACAGATTGGTGGTTACAAGGGGCAGGGATTGGGGGTTGGAGAAATGGGTGAATTTTTTTTTTTTAGTTTAAATATTTAAAACTACAGTAATAAAAAGAAAATTCAAAGAAACAGTAAATGATTTTCGCTTACTGATTAAGCAACACACACTTTTTTCCCCTACTTATTTCCCCTCCAACTTGGATTTCATATTACAAAAAAACCCAAACTTACCAGTAGAGCAAATAATATTTCTATTTTTGTCTAACAGAACAAAAATAGAAAATTCAGAAAATAGCCAAAGACAATACTCCCTAACTAACTGAAGACTTAACACAAGAGCATCTTGACCATTTATTTATTGGTCAAATTGAGAATGGATGCACTCTTTTTAAGGAAAATTTTAACATCTGGGGGGTTGCCCAAGCAGGATTTGTGGAAAATATCAGCAATTATTTCAAAGCAGAGGCATACGGGGGCGTTAGTCAGTGTAGCAGAACACAACAGAAAACACTAATATGGGCAATGTAGACAGAGCCATGCCAGCAACATCCAAAAAGATGGAGCTTCAAGCCAAGGGATTCCATGATTTCAGTTCCTTTAGCATAGTTGACACAGCTGCAAAGAAAGCCACCTTGACCTGATGCCATTACACAGTCCCCTCATTTAACTCTCCTTGTTCTGATCAAAGCTCATCAAGCAACCCTTGATGCCTGTCTGCCCTGAAGGAGTCAATGCACCAGATGTGCATCTGTGGTGCTCTGAGATCAGTGGCAGTCATACTTCTCATTATAAAAGGGTAAACCACCATTCTGGTTTTGTACCTGGATGAGGTGAGCCTATCCCAAGAGACAAATCCACTCTTGGTGTATGCAAAAAAAAAGTCTACCTAGAAACCCAACCCCCATCAAGGCTAAATTCCAGAGATGCTTTCCTGAAACTCACCCCCCTCTACTGCCCACCATCTTGGCTGTTACCATTACCTTGAAAGTTGCTAACCAGACAGGCCCATTTGTATTCACCACTCCTCACCCAGCACCACTGCAATGTGGTGCTTATTTCCTTCACAGTCTTGGCTTCCTTGTCTAATAAATGGCAGTAATGATTCTGACAAACAACTCTGGATGAAATCACATAATCCTTAAGCATTAAAACAAAAAAAAGCATAGGGGATGACACAGTGGATTAAAACACACGGCCTAACAGCACGCTGCCTGCACTTCAAATACAAGATACAGCAGACTGAAGCTAAAAGGGCAGAAAAGGGCCGAGTGAATGCTATTCAAAAGAAAGGAGGAGTAGCTATATTAGTATCACATAGACTTCAGAGCGAAGACTACTACCAGAGACAGAGAGAAATGTTACATATTGATGGAAAGGTAAATTCTCTAGGAAGGCACAGTGATCCTAAAGTTATATGTACCTACCAACAGAGCTGCAAAATATATGAAGCAAAACCTGATAGAACTGAAGGGAGATAAAGGCAGACTAACAATTACAGTTGGAAACTTCAACACCTCTCTCGATAACTGACAGAAGTAGTAGAAAATCAGCAAGAGTATATCAATAGAAACACCAATGCCAAGAAAAAGGATCTTACTGACATTTATAACACTCACCACTCGGTAACAGCAGGATGCATGCTCTTCTCCAGTGTCCATGAAATATATACCAAGATATGCCAATTTCTTGAACAAATTCCTTAGCTAATATCATGGTACACAAAATCAGAACTTGTTCTCTATATAAAATATTTTAGGGTTAATGAAACTTAAACCTATTAATTTCTTAACACTGACTTTTACCTATATAATGCTACATAATTTCTATTACCAAGAATCTTTTGAAAGTATTTGCAATGTAAGAGTAACCCTATATCTTCCATAAATTTTAAATGCTTTTAAAACCCAAAGCCACCATTTACTACTATTTTATATTTAATGTCAACCATATGTTGAGGAACATCAAATGACGGAGGACACACGTACCAGATCCCATGAGAGCACAGATCAGGACCATGGAATTGTATTTGATTTCAGGAGCACTTCTCTCATCTGCTAGCAGCCTGTGCAAGATCTGTACAAGTTGAGCACTTTCTAGGTCTTTCTCAGCAGTACCTGGAACATGAAATAATTAAAGTATCAGTTATATTCACTGGGTATAAACCTGGTACACTCTGGCTAAAAATTGCTTCCCCTTTTGGAAAATGATCATGTTAAACCTTCTGAAAGGAACTGATAAGCAGAAAAGATGGTATGATATACTATGTACTATCACCATCTTCAAAAATTATCATGACCAAATAGGCAAATGAAAAGATATTCAGCATCGTTAGTTATTAGAGAAATGCAAATCAAAACTACAATGAGGTATGTCACCTCACACCTGTCAGAATGGCTACCATCAAAAAATCCACAAACAACAAATGCTGGAGAAGGTGGGGAGAGAAGGGAACCCTCCTGGACTGTTGGTGGGAATGTAAATTGGTAGAGCCACTATGGAGAACAGTATAGAGGTTCCTTAAAAAGCTAAAAATAGAACTACCCTCTGATCCTGCAATCCCACTCCTGGGCATATATCCAGAGAAAAACATGGCCCCAAAAGATACATGCACTGCAATGTTCACTGCAGCACTGTTTACAATAGCCAAGACATGGAAACGACCTAAATGTCCATCAGCAGAGGAATGAATGAAGATGATGTGGTGTGTATGTATACACACACACAACGGAATAGTACTCCGCCATTAAAAGGAATGCAATAAGGCCATTTGTAGCAACATGGATGAACTAGAGAGAGTCATACTGAGTGAAGTCAGTCAGACAGAGAAGGAGAGATATCGTATGACATCCCTTTATGTGGACTCTAAAACGAAATGATACAAATGAATTTCCTTACAAAACAGAAAGAGACTCACAGACTTAGAAAACAAACTCATGGTTGCCAGGGGGAAGGGATAGTTAACAACTTTGGGAAGGTCATGTACACACTGCAATATTTAAAATGGATAACCAACAAGGACCTACTGTATAGCACATGGAACTCTGCTCAATGTTATGTGCCAGCCTGGATGTGAGGGGGATTTGGGGGAGAATGGATACATGTATATGTATGGCTGAGTCCCTTCCCTGTTCACCTCAAACTATCACAACTTTGTTAATCAGTTATACCCCATTACAAAATGTTTCTGGTGTTAAAAAAAGAAGTTTTTTAAATTATCATGGCCAATTGTGTATCCTTTATCTCTCTTCTTATCTACCTATTCTTTATAGTCACATAATTTCCTCTATATGTATTCTAGAATGTATCTTTAAGAGAATGGTACCCTGAAATTCCTATCAAAATTCCAATAGGATTTTGGTGTGTGGGAAACCACAGGTCCTAAATGAGGTAAACAATCTTGATAAAGAAGAATAAAGTGGGAGTAAGTCCTCTACTTGATATGATGAAGGTCACTCACTATATAGGGTCAGTTATTAAGAGTGTGGTGTTGGTGGAGAGATAGACACACAGGACAAAGGAACTGAAAGACAACCCTAGAAGCAGACCCACAGAAATATGCTCAACTGATTCCTGACAAAATCAATTCAGTGGAGGAAAGACAGCCTTTTCAACAAATGGTACTGGGGCAAGTAGATCCATAAGCAAGGGGAAAAAAGAAACCCTGACCTAAACCTCACATTTTATATAGATATTAACTTAAAAAGGATCACAGACTTAAATGTAAAACTACAGGACTTTCAGGATACAAATAATCCTTAAAACTCAATAGTTTAAAAAAAATTAGAAAATGAGCAAAAGACACAGATATTTCACCAAGGAATATATAAGATGGAAAAGAAGTACATAAAGATGTTCAACATCGGTAGTCTTTAGAAAAGTGGAAATTAAAACTACATGAGGTATCACTACATATCTCTCAGATTGACTAAAATTTTAAAAATTAGGGATAATATTAAATATTGGTGAGGATAAAGAGAAAACTAGGTCACTTATACAGTGCTGGCAGAAATGTAATGTTTTCCAGAGCCACTCTGGAAAACAGTTTGTTATTTCTTAAAAAAACAAACATGCAGTTACTGTACAACCTAGCGGTTATAACTCCTAGGCATTTATCCAGAAAAATGAAAATTTGTGTTTACATAAAATCCTGTACATGAATGTTCTTTGAAGCCTTATTTTTAAAAGTCCCAAATTAGAATCAGTCCAGATGTCCTTCAATAGGTGAATGGTTAAACAAGTCGTGGTACATACAAATCATAAAATACTATTCAGTAATGGGAAGGAATAAACTATAATCACACAAATCAATGACTCTTTAGGAAATTACGCTGACCAAAAAAAGCCAATTTCAAAAGGTCATATACTGTATGATTCCATTCATACATTTCTGAAATGAAAAAAAAATTTAGAAATGAAGGGTAGGTTAGTGGTTTCCAGGGATTAGGAGAGTAGGAGGCAGGTGAATGTGGTTATGAATGGAGGATCCTTGTGGAATTAGAACTGTTCAGATACACTTACACAGGTGATCAAGCTGAATTGAACATAAATAGAAATGAGTACAAGTAAAACTGGGGAAGTCTGAACTAGAGGTAAATTTTATCAGGGGTTGGGATGTTATACTAGGTTTGCAAAATGTTACCACTGGGCAAACTGTGAAGGCATCTTTATTATTTCTTTTAATTGCATGTGAATTTACAATTACCAAAAAAAAAAAAAAAGGACTCTAAAATGTTGCTTTAATACTATTATCATACAAAAATTTTATAATTCCTTAATAGTATTTAAAAACCTGAAAGGATACAGGTTTGGAAAAATATGGTTTTCAAAGTGTGTTGTATATTAAAAAGGTACTATGGCCTTATTTTTAAATTTTAGGCTCAAGGAGCCTAGGAAAAACTAGGTGATAATGACAACAAATGTAATTATGTATTATCATTTTATATAGTTCTATGGTGAGGTAATCTGACTCAGGCAAATGCTCAGTTATTAAGAAGAAGGCAAAATTAAAGCCTGTTTAGAAGATACTAGTTATGAAGGGCACAAGACCAGATTCACCCCAGGTTGGTAGGTCAAGGATATTCTAAAATTGTTTCATCACTAAGCCATTTTACAAAATCAAGTCATGAACTCTGTTTGACATTCAGTGTCCTCACCAATTCTCACCTCTTCGTCATAGTCTCTGATGAAGTAATCTCCCCTACCCATGGAGGAAATCATAGGCTAGGCCAGGACTCAAACTGACTTCCACAGCATCTTTAACTTAAGTCACCAAAGTGACATACACCTTCTTGAAGTCTTGTGTGTGCATGCGTGCATGCTTAGTTGTGTCTGACTCTCTGCGACCCTATGAACTGTAGCCCACCAGGCTCCTCTGTCCGTGGAATTTTCCAGGCAAGAATACTGGAGCGGATTGCCATGTCCTCCTCCAGGGTATCTTCCCAACCCAGGGATCGAACCCACATCTCCTGCATCTCCTCCTTTGGCAGGTGGATTCTTTACCACTGGGCCACCTGGGAAGCCTGAAGTCTTTTCTAGCTTTAAAATTCAAGAAAATTTTACATCCTATGATTTTTTTTTAAAAATCATATAGGGTTTTAAAGTTTATAACCTGTTAAGAGGACAAAAAATTCAAATCTCTCACACCTGAAATCTGAGTAAATCTGACATTAGAGGAGGATATACCATTTTTATCTTTTGGCTTCTCCTTCCTGGGATAATGGTTGGTGAGAGTGAGAATTTCCCACAGTGAGAGTTATGGACATAAGTTGTCACTTAGAACTGAAGTGATCAGTTAACAGTATTTACCCGAGTATCTCTGAAGGGAACAGGACATGTCTACTAAGTCTACAGGCCTCCTTTGTGTAAGGTAGCCTCAGGTCTTACCTCAGGCCATGTGACTTTCATTGTCTCCAGCTGACTACCTATCAAAGCTTGGTTCCTGACACAAAGTTGCCTCCCATAAACTAGATGTCTGAGTGAGCTTTTCCTGAAGAATTCTGAGTAACAGGGATACTGCCACGAAGAGACTAACTGAATCATTTAGACTCTGCTTTGGGGGAACTCTGCGTGTACATACACAGAAAGAGTAACATAAAAGGTGAAGATTTAGAATGAAGGTGATGCTATAAAGCAATAGAAACCATGGTGACAGAGAGGAGACCAGCAAGAGACAGTCAGCAGTGTAGACAAGAGAATCTGAGTGGCTGGAAGAGTAGCAAACTCTAAACTTACTATTGTATTCTAAATAGTGTTTCATTTTTCCATGAGGCCTGCTGAAATTCCCTAAGTGCCTAAAATTTGAGATATCATTTAAGAGTTAAACTAACATTAAAGCATTGCCTTAAAAATGTTACCAAAAGAACAACCCAAAGGGACACCTATGGTGACAATCTATAGAGTATGGTTTTCCATTTACTCAGATGTAGTATAGACACACACTGGCAAAATGCTTCTGGTCAAAGGTTTTGTCTGACTTCTATTCCACTCCTGTGCTTCCTTTCATCCAAGATAAAAATAGGAGAAAATAAGTTTGTCACTGGGGTACTTACCCAATTCTAAAGCTGCTATTAGTGCCAAAGCAACAAGGGCTTCATTCTGCATTATTACATGTTCACTAGTTGCCATGGTAACTAGATGCTTGATGCCACCACTTTGTACAATGGTTTTAATTACATCCTACAATAAATAAGTATCATGAAATTATAAACTTTAATTTTAAACATAAACTGCATTACAATCAGTCAATTCACTATTGAGTGGTTTTCTGACAGTGTCCCTATGAATCATTACATTTAACCATAATTTTTTTTCTTCATAGAAAAGAAGGAAAAAGCTTTTAGCTTTAAATAAATTCATCAAAAGATGACAACTTAAACTACCTAAGCAAAAAAGACCACTGCAGTTCATATCAAGGAAGAGAGTTTTAGAAGCTAACAAACAAAACTGCCACTGACCCAAATGTTCACCTACCATGAGATCAACAAAACAGAATAGATCTTGGAATAATAAAAAAGTTCTTCCTTTCAAATTTTTATTATTAATATACCAGGTGGCTGCTTTTCAGATGAACCAGGTGAAGCTTTGTATGTATGTATGTATGCATGTATCCACGTAGTCTTAAAACCTGTGCTGTATCTGACAAAGTAAGATTACATACAACAGGACTTGAGGAGAACTTAAACCAAAATTCTCTCTCTCATTTCTCATAGTACCTACAACTCTGTCCTTTCCAGTGGCAGTGGGGCAGTGGGCTCCAGACTCAATAAATCTCACTGACTTTGAGCAAATTACAAAAGCTCTCTGCATCTCAGAGATATCACTTGAGATAATGTAAGTGTATATCTCATAGGTTTTTGTTATGCAAAATTATTACATGAAAAGCACACATAAAAGTATACAGCAAAGGCTAGATGAAAAGAAATGGCTACACTTATTTCTAGTACTCACTTTTGTCTTCATCTCACTTAGGGTTTTGTGGCCTTCAAACTCAAGTCTTTGTTGGCCTGACCGCCACATGTAACAGGAATTTAAGAGTTCCAGATTCAGATGCCAAAATATGTCTGTCTGTTTTAATCTAGTTAACAGAATTATGGTTTGTCTAAACGAAACCATTGGTAAGCGACCTCATGGAATGGAGCAAAGAGTTAGGGTAAAGACTCCAAAAAGGACAGAAGAGTGATCTTGGAATAAGCAAGTTAGTTGGAATGTCCGTTCTTCCCATTGTCTCTCATTTCGATGAATGACATGATGACCCCACCTGGTCCTAAGCCCCAAACGTGGAATTCTCTCTAAAACATCCTTCTCCTTTGACCCCAATGCTGAATTCTGTCAGTTCTACCACCCATATCTTTCTCAAATCCTTCTCTTCTTTTCCATCCTCACTGCTTCTATTAGGCTGAACTATATGCTATTTGTTTCTTCATGTCAAAATGGTCGAATATCAGCAATTTCAAATTACTCAACCCAAATCCTTAGTTCAGCCCTTCATCATCTCTCATGTATATTTTTGAAAGAGCTTTCTTTTCCTCACCCCTAGTAAATAAGCTGTGGAGTCAACTTCCTAGGAAAACCAAGTAATGGCACCCCGCTGCTTAAAATCCTTTGGGAGCTTCTTAATTCTCTACAGAATCAACCTGGCACATAGTTCATCTTAATCCCCACTTCTCTTCCCCTTTGGTGACTGTCTCTGGGCCCAACAGAGCACAGTTATGATGGAGAAGAGTTAAGAGGAGGACCACAGGAGTTCACTTTGCTCTTCTTTCTGAATACTTTCCATCTCGTCAACAATACACTTGGTCCTGTCCTGGTGTCAATGAAATGGATGGGCTTTCAGGCTGCTCTAGGTGAGACAGGTGGTAGGAAGGTCCAAAAGTTACCAGCGGTTTTTGCTCCAGGGAAAGACACCAAGAGATAGCATGTGATGGGGAGGAACATTCTGTGACCAATCAGCTGGAATAGCTACTGTGGTGAAGTCAATTATTTATATGAAGGAGATTTACTCAAGACAAGGAGTACCTTTAAGATTTGTTTCTTGCCATCTTTTAATCTGTTTCATAAATAAATGAATGGTTTCCTCAGACTTACTTTTGATTTACTGTGTCGTATGAGGGCAGAGAGCAGTCTGTTTGACTCTCCCATCACACCAGCATGATCTTTGGCTTCACACCACTCCACCAAACGCTCCACTAACTTAACATTTTTTCCCAGTTGTTCAGCAGCTTCTGCTATAGGAAAGAAGGCAAACCACAAAGGAATGAGCCACTAATAAGCAATCAACTAAAACAACTAGTTAAAGATGTAAGAGTGTGAAGGAAAATTACAGGTCTAAAAAACAGAACACAACAATATTGTTAAATAAGAACTGCAAAATACTCTGTATCTAATGGATTATTGAGATTTTTTATATAAAGTTATGGACTTTAATATAAAAAATGAAATAACTTTATACTCTTTTGGCTCAGCCTGGTAATCTGTTAGTACTCTGGAAAACTGTACCAAAGAGTTTTCAGCAGTACTCTAAGGAATCAATACACATAAAGTTTAGAATTTAGAAATAAATAAATATAACTCATTCCAAGGATTAGTTTTCATTATTGTTTCTGTAAACAGAAACATGATCTCCCTGTTTGTAAAACAAATTAAAAAAATTTTTGAATGTCACTGTATTGAAACAATGATTTTGAAGACAAGGGAAAATCAGTATAGAAAATGCCAAAACATAAAAATTCCCTCAAGAACTGTTAATAAATCAATCTAAGACCAGATTATACCTACAAATGAAGAGAAGTGCAATATAATTTCCATTTAAAGTCAATTATAACAAGTATGGAAATTAACTAATGGGGATCTAAAACCAATCTCTTTTGCCTTTTATTTGCTACTTATCTCTATGATTCTGAAAGCTAAAAACAGGTCCTTTTTCATACAAAACATACACCTTAGGAAAGAATTTCTCTTACCTTGTGCATCTATTAACATTCTTAATGTTCCCAAGAGTTTGAACTGAACCGGGGGCATTTCAGATTTAAGGAATTTCAAAACTGCCTCCGTGACTCCAGCTGATAACATCTTTGCTTTATTTACAACTAGAGAGAGAGAGAGAGAGACTGGTTAAAATTATGTTAGCATTTTTGAGGATAATCATTCAATTCAATATAATTTTTAAGTGTCTTATTAGCTTTAAGGATCCATGTTACATTTTTCTACTTAAAAACAATCATATTACTTTTCTATTAATTTTAAGAATTGGATTGGGAATGGGAGGTCTGGGGGATAAATACCCTCTGTCTATAGAAGCACAAAATACAAAATCACATATATTGGCTTTTAAAATCTAATTTAAAAAAACCAGTAATTTGTAAAGGAAATCTGACAATGTTGCCTTCATATTTACAAAAAGCATGATTCCTCAACTTTAATAAATGTCTCTTTTTACCTCTATCCTTGACCCAAGTGTTAATATAGATATTACAGACATTAATAAGCAATCTTAATCTGCTACATGAAACAATTTTATATAGATTGCATTTTCATATGTTACGATATTTTTACCTAACCAGAAATTTATCATTAGAAAGTAGAATAACAGGATGTTAATTAACTATATCCTGTATTACTTCCCATGATAATGTTGTTTTGAAAGACTAGTCATCCAAAAAGGCACATTAAGGCTAGTTAAAAAAAACGGTATGTCTGTACCCACTGCTATATTTAAAATGGATAACCAACAAGGACCTACTGTATAGCAATGGAACTTTTCTCAATATTATGTGGCAGCCTGGATGTGAGGGGTTTTGGGGGAGAATGGATACATGTATATGTACAGCTGAGTCCCTTTCCTGTTCCCCTGAAACTAGCACAACGCTGCTAATTGGCTGCAGCCCAATACAAAAAGTTCAAAAGGAAAAAAACTTCATGTCTACTTGTAAGGAAAAAAACTCTTTTAAAAGTCATCTTTAGGGGATGCTATGAATTGATATTATCTTCCCTCAACTGAAGATGCTTTAAAAATCTTAACTATACAGTATGATGAAAATCTGGGAGTTCACAAAACGTAATAGAATATTTGAATAATCTGAAAAAGGAAGATTGTGCTCGTACAGTCTCAGAAAACATCTTTAACATATAATCTCCATTTATTAGTAAGAAAAACGAAAGCAATCTGAAGACTATGACTTTCCTTTTCTTGGTCAGGGCAGGTCCACAAATCACATAAAGTAAACACCTTTCCAAAACAACAGACCTTCTCTCTTACACGGTTGGCTCCCGTTCTTGAGACTTACCTGGGATGGCTAGGTTTCTGAGGGCACTCAGTGCTGCATGCTGAACAGTTACGTTTCCATCTTCTACATGTCTGTCCAATAAATCCATAAGTTTTTCTACAATCCCATTGTCTACCATGTGGATACAATTTCCATCTAAATAACAACAGAAAACATTTTTCCCCTCTTTGCAAATATTTATAAATATTTTGTAATACTCATGCCAGCCCATTATCTACATTAAGGAAAATGGAGCTACAGAAAAATAAAATGAATTCCATCTCTTTCTCACATCATATTTATGAGATTTTTGTTTGTTTACTGAGTGAGAAGTCATATGAGATTCTTAAAATAGATAAAATTTTTAAAATTGGCCCAAAAAATCTGTAGCTGAGATCCCGACCGTATGTCAGAGGATGAGTAAATAGAAACCACATGCTTAATGTGTCCTCTGATTGTTTCCATTTATAATGAAGTATGCCAGTGTTCTGCCCTTGTTACACTAACAGTACTCTACATTTTGTTATCATGGTTGATATTTATTTTTTAAAGCAGAATTTCTGAAACATTTATAAAACAGAATATTATAATGAATTATTATTTAGCCCCCATTTAGCTTCATGAATTATCAATATTTTGCAAGTCTTATTTTCATCACTAAGGAGCTAATGATGGTCCCCAAAAAGACAGAAGGAAAAATGGAACAAGTCATTATTAAAACATGCTATAACAAGAGTTAATACTCAAATAAAATCAAATTAAAAACAAAAGTAACTCATATTTCCTAGACATAAGTATAGAATAATATACTTCCTAGTATAAGAATAAGTTTCTAGAATGAACAGCAGAAGTATCAGACTTCAGAAATATACATAAAGTCTGGTGCCTCTGAAGTATTATTTAAGTAAATATTCCAGCCTAAACCAGTAGATCACCCACACTTAAGTTCTGTAGACATAAGAGTATAAATTGAGGCACAATAATGAATACTCAGGTTATTAAAACCAAGATAAAATCTAAATCCAAAGAGCATATCCTTCTAGGTCAGAAGTATATTAGCATGGGACTAAAGTTTATTCATCTCTGAAGTGTAAGAGTATTCAAAAAGAACTTCAAAGTCACTGTTCATTATCTTTAAACTATTAGCTCTTAGTTGAAGTGCATAAAACATGTAATTTGTTGGGCAAGTCACTATTAGTATTTCAGATTTCTGAAATATTAAGGTAGTGGTACACACAGATACTGCATATGCTTCTGAACGGTTTTAGGTTTAGCACATGTTATGGCAAAGCAGAATTCTAAAATATAGAAAGCCTGACTTAGTAAGAATGAACTAATATGCTTACCATTTCTGGCAAAATTTGCAATTGCCAATGCTCCAGCAAGCTGTAGCTGGTGGTTATTTGATGGAATCCAAGATAGTACCCTTTGAAACACATTACCTTTTCCTCCTTCAAATAATTTCTGCATGGATTCATCTAGAGATAAATGGAACGGATATGAGGAAAATAGTTAGGAGTGACACATCCATATTCTTAACTGAATACCCAACTGGGAAATCATATACTTCACAGTCCACAATTCATAAAGGGAGAAGTAATGGCTCTTTTTATAATAAACTTTTAGTAGAGACTGGACAAAAGGGTTTAGAATTTTTCTATTCTAAATCCCAAGCAGCCATCTAGCTTTTAGACCTTTGGCATCATAGCTGTCTCTTCTAAATGACAGCTCTTTAAATACTGTGTGAGATAGTAAAGACTCCTGTCCAGGTTCATTATCTCTAGTTCTCTTTATGATGTGTTTCAAAATCATCACATCAACAAGATTAAATGTGACAGGAAAATGAGAGAAAATGCCTGATGAAGTATTTATAAAAGAGACAATAAATTTTTAAAAAATCTGACAATCATGTTCTTTTATTGGCATAAATTACAACTAACCTCCAAGAAGTAATAAAACCATTAGATCCGAAGCAGTTTTGAGCTCAGCAATATCCTCCTCTTTGTCACTATCCACTTTCTGCTGAACAATCTCCAGTAGACATTCTACCAGGCCTGATTCAACGAGCTGTAGTTTAATAGCATCTAAAGAATAATGTGAACAAAATAACCAAAATTTAAGATGAAATAGTTCTGGTGTAAGCAATTTATTGTTAAGAATTATAAGACACCAAGAAAGTACATGATTTAGATAATACCCCTTTGAAGATTTGAGTTTCAAAAGGAAGTATCAGACAGTGCAGCTTAAATACACAGGGCTTTATTTCATTTTTCCATTTGCTATTATGTCACTTTTCACAATGTCTGGCAGCACCTAAACAAATTGATTCTCAGCTCTGAAGGCAGGTAATATCTACTGTTATTCTAGAGATTATACTCACATTTAAAAGGCAACACTATAAAATATCCCACACTGTTTTATAAAACACACACAGATGATATAGTCAAAATATATCCACTAATGGAGTTTGAATACCAAGATATTGAAAAGAGGTATTAGTAAATTTCAAAGTATATCACAAGGTATGTATATTTGGATTCATATTTATACATTGTTATTTTTCTAGGACAGTTAATTTATAACTTTCTGAACTTGAAAAGTCATGTTTTAAAAAAGAGGTTCAGGTCTTCATTAATTTGAAGCTTTCTCAAGTGATGGGAATATAGTTCATTATATTATATTCGCTCTACATTTGAATAGGTTCTTAAATTTTCATAATAAAAGTGGAAAGAAAAAATAACTTTGAAATTTTTTGATGGATAACTAACAAACTAAGGAATTTTAGACAGATTTTACATCCCAATTGTATTTTAAAACACTGTCTTCATAGCAAACTATATTTGTCTACCAAATCAATATTGTTTACATTCCTAATATCTTAAATATTCTTTCATTATAGAACATATTTCACTGAAGATTTTATATTCATGTTCATATCTGTCTCCCCCAATTCAGCAGATATTGTATATACTTCATTCATCCTTGTGTTTTAACCTAAATTGGTTTACTTAAATATTTTGGGTGTATTTGATACTGCTTAAGATAAATGTTGATCAACTGACCTTACAAATACATTAGCTACACAGATATTTTCAAACTTAAATTTTATTGTTTAGTTGGATTTTTTTTAGTCTTCAGTGTCCCTAAGCTGTATATGCATATATCTACAGCAAGGGCAGTGTAAGCTTGTTATTTGGGAGAAACAGACCATTTTTCTTTTTTCCAAACAAGATTTTCTCTTTCAGACCATTTTATGTGTAAAAATTTGGCCTTTTTCCCCTATCACTAGGACCACTGATCTTCTTTGGCATATTATTTCAGAATATACAGAATATTCAATCTGGAATATTTTTTTATAAGGTATACTTGCACTGTGCCATGCTGAAAGTAGGGCGTTACCTTGGTTACAGAATGATAGAACTAGAAATATGTGGTGACTAGAATTGAAAGCCATGACGAAAAAGCCTTAAAAAATACAAAAAACCTTGAATTACAGAAATCCCAGTTTAAATGTTGGAATCACTCTCCTTTGCATACAAGGAAACCAAGGATGATATGCTAAGGATAGCCCAGACACCAAGTTATCATTCAGTCCACTTCACAGTTATAAAACACAAGTGAAGATAGTGGAGAACAAAACAAATTAATAAAAACAGTTATTATGAAAGACTGCAAGGAAGGTTACAGGTCATTCTCTGGCATAAAACTACCTGAAGGTCACAATGAAAATTTCCTATTTGGCCAAACCACCAAATGAGATGAAAAATAAATTCCTCCCATAAGATCTAAGGCATGCAGAAAATATGACATGTGCTAAGGTTAAACTATGAGATCTTTCTTCTCAAAGTTTAACTGTAATCACACATATATATGGGACGCTTAAAAAGGCTTATTAAAAAGGATGAGCAAGGCATTCTGCCAAAGAAGACAGCCTAGCACACTTTTATCAGTACCATTCTGCCCAAGGACATCTACTTATATCACTACCATTTATGTATCATGTTTTATATATGTATATGTATGTGTATATCTGTATGACTGTATATTTAAAAATCTTTTCTAAGTGATGGAAAAATCCCACAAGTTCAACAAAGTGCATAAATATACATTATGCTTAAGTGTGAAATTTGCTCAGTTGTGTCTGACTCTTTGCGACCCCATGGACTATACATACAGTCCACGGAATTCTCCAGGCCAGAATACTGGAGTGGGTAGCCTTTCCCTTCTCCAGGGGATCTTCCCAACCCAGGGATCAAACCCAGGTCTCCCACATTGCAGGTGGATTCTTTACCAGCTGAGCCACAAGGGAAGCCCAAGAATACTGGAGTGGGTAGCCTATCCCTTCTGCAGCAGATCTTTCCAACCCAGGAATTGAACCAGGGTCTCCTGCATTGCAGGCAGATTCTTTACCAACTGAGCTATCAGGGAAGTCCTTACGTTACACTTAATCAACTATTATTATTAAATACATTAAATAACCACAGAACTATCACCTAAATCAAGAAATCCATCACCAACAACCCGAGAAACCCCTGTGTGACTTTTTCCTGTCACATATCTGTCCCTTTCAAATCACTACCCTGATTTTTTTTTTTACCCTTATTTTTAAAGGTAATCGTATCCATATATATCCATACTTTTACAGTTTCACCAAATAATCATCCCTAAAAAACTATAGCTTAATTTCAGCTTTTTTTGAAACTTCATGTAAATGGAATCATATATTTTTCAGTGCTGGCTTTTTCTTTTTAATATGTTTATAGGACTCATCTACACTATTGGTTATGACTGTCTTCATTCCTTTCCATAACTGTGTATTTTTCTATAATATGGATATACCATGTTAATCTACTGTTAATGGATTGTTTAAATATTTCATTATTATATACAATGCTGTTATGAACATTCCTGGAATGGCTCCTGGTGTACACAAACATGTTTCTGGGTATACACCTAACAGCAGAATTTCTGAATCACTGGGAACACGTACCTCTAACTCAGTAGAGACTGTTCTCCAAATTGTACCAATTTAGTACTCTTGCCTGGTAGGCTGCAGTCCATGGGGTTGCGAAGAGTCCGACATGACTGAGCGACTTCACTTTCACTTTCACGCATTGGAGAAGGAAATGGCAACCCACTCCAGTGTTCTTGCCCGGAGAATCCCAGGGATGGGGTCGCACAGAGTCGGACACGACTAAAGTGACTTAGCAGCAGTACCAGTATAGTCCCATCAGCATTTAATGAGTTTCCACTGTTCCACACCTTCATCAACACTTGGTATTATCATTTTTTCCAGTGAGGACATAGTGGTATTTTATTGTAGTTTTATTTTGCATTCCCTAATTTTTAATGAGTTGAGCATATTTTTATGTGTTCATTAGCTGCTTGGATTTTATCTTTTGTCAAAGGCCTTCTCAAATCATTTGCACGTGTTCACCACTGAATTTTCTACATATCTCTTAATGATTTGGGGGTGTTTTTCTACATGGCGTACACATCAGCCCTCTGCTGGTTACACGTGTTGTAAATATCATCTCATCTACTGTCATGCTTTTCTCAAATTTTTATTTTTAAAATAACCAAATTTATCATTTTTTCCTTTCAGTTAAGCTTTTTGTGACATAAGAAAATTTTCTGTATGCAAGCCTGTGATGCTATTCTCTTATCTCATGTTTTAAGATAAACTTTCTTATTTCAACTTTTACATTCAATAATGTATCTGAAATGAAAATTTTAAAATAGTAAAAAGTGGGATTGTTATGTGTGTCTCCAATTGTATTTTCTACATTTCTAGCACCATTTATTTAACAAACCATCCTTTTCATATAGCTCAATAGTGGTACCTTTTTTTCTTAGTAAAATAAACATCTACTAATGCATCTATTTGTTTCTGGGTTATCCTGTTCCACTGGTTTTCCTGTCCATCTTTGAACCAATACTACATTGTCTCTTAAATATAATAAGAGTTTTATCAGAATAAAACTTTATTATTGTTATGAAGTAAAACCAGTTCTGCTCCCTTGTTCTCTTTCACATTATCTTGACTAGTCTTGGTCTTTGGGATTTTGATGAGAACTGCAGTTAAGTCTTCAAATCAGTATGGGGCAATATAACATCATTACAGAATACATATAGCTTTCTGTTTATTTAGATCTTAGTTTCTCTTGATGATTTTCTATAGTTTTCTGCCAGAGATCTTAGACATCTTTTATTAATCTATTCTTAAGTACTTCTTTTTTTTTTTTTAAGCCACTCAGCTTGCATGATCTTAGCTCCCAGACCACGGATCAAATTCAGGGACCCCAGCAGTGAAAGCACAGAGTCCTCCTGACCATTGGGCTACCAAGGAATTCCCGTAAATATTTTGTTTTTTATACTATAGCAAACAATGTATTTTAAAAATGTATTTTCTATTTTAGCTGGTATGTAAAAATACAATGCTTTGGGTTTTCAGATGTATTTATTTCTTTTGGCTAGCAAACCAAACTTTAATTTTCAAGATTAATCTATTCTTTTGTATTCACGATGTAATCATATCATCTATGAAAAATGATAGCTTATTTCCTTCCAATATCTTTTCTTTCTTTTTTACTCTATAGCACTGGATAGTTCCTACAATACAATAAGAAATAAAAATGGGGATGATCCTTCTCATTCCCAATCTTAAAAGGAAATGCTTTTTGTTTTACCACTGGGTGTGATGTTTTCTACAGAATTTGGGTTATATATTCTCTTCACTCTCTTCTAATAATGGTTTGTGAAAAACCATTTTTTTTTAAAAAACCATATATGGATGCTTAATCTTATAAAATGTTTTTTCTGGATGGTAAGATCATACAATTGCACTCATCTCACACACTAGCAGAGTAATGCTCAAAATGCAAGCTTCAAAATCCAAGCCAGGCTTCAACAAAACGTGAACTGTGAACTTTCAGATGTTCAAGCTGGTTTCAGAAAAGGCAGAGGAGCCAGAGATCAAATTGCCAACATCCGCTGGATCATCAAAAAAGCAAGAGAGTTCAAGAAAACATCTATTCCTGCTTTATTGACTATGCCAAAGCCTTTGTGTGGATCACAATAAACTGTGGAAAATTATTCGAGATGGGAATACCAGACCACCTGATCTGCCTCTTGAGAAATCTGTATGCAGGTCAGGAAGAAACAGTTAGAACTGGACATGGAACAACAGACTGGTTCCAAATAGGAAAAGAAGTACATCAAGGCTGTATATTTGTCACCTTGCTTATTTAACTTATATGCAGAGTAAGTACATCATGAGAAATGCTGGGCTGGATGAATCACAAGCCGGAATCCAGATTGCCAGGAGAAATATCAATAATCTCAGATATGGAGATGACACCACCCTGATGGCAGAAAGTGAAGAAGAATTAAAGAGCTTCTTGATGAAAATGAAAGAGGAGAGCTGAAAAGTTGGCTGAAAGCTCAACATTCAGAAAACTAAGATCATGGCATCCAGTTCCATCACTTCATGGCAAATAGATGGGGAAACAGTGGCAGACTTTATTTTTGGGGGCTCCAAAATCACTGCAGATGGTGACTGCAACCATGAAATTAAAAGACCTTACTCCTTGGAAGGAAAGTTATGACCAACCTAGATAGCATATTAAAAAGCAAAGACATTACTTTGCCAACAAAGGTCCATCTAGTCAAGGCTATGGTTTTTCCAGTGGTCATGTATGGATGTGAGAGTTGGACTACAAAGAAAGCTGAGTGCCGAAGAATTGTTGCTTTTGAATTGTAGTGTTGGAGAAGACTCTTAGAGTCCCTTGGACTGCAAGGAGATCCAACAAGTCCATCCTAAAGGAGATCAGTCCTGGGTGTTTATTGGAAGGACTGATATTGAAGCTGAAACTCCAATACTTTGGCCACCTGATGTGAAGAGCTGACTTATTTGAAAAGACCCTAATGCTGGGGAAGATTGAGGTCTGGAGGAGAAGGGGATGACAGAGGATGAGATGGTTGGATGGCATCACCAACTCAATGGACATGAGTTTGGGTAAACTCCGGGAGTTCGTGATGGACAGGGAGGCCTGGCGTGCTGCAGTCCATGGCGTCACAGAGTCGGACACGACTGAGCGACTGAACTGAAGATCATATGATTTTCCCCTTTATTAAGTTCTAATGTGATGAATTATATTGATTGCATTTGGAATAATAAACTACATTTCCAGAATAAATCCAATTTAGTATGATGATTAATTTTTAAATATGCTATTAGAAATTTTTTGCTAAAAGTTTATGGGAATTTTGGATCTATCTTCATGGTGAGACTGGCCTTTAATTTTTTTTCTTCTATGGTCTTTGATGGTATTTTATTAGTTTCACAAAATACATTAGTGAGTATATTTGCATTTCCTATTCCTTGAAAGAATTTAAGGTAAGATTACTCGACTTTTCTATTCTTGTGTCATCCATACTTGAAAATGTATGGGCATCAAATTTTTATAACATTCTTCTAGTATCTGTAACATCTGTAGTGAGATCTATTTTCTTGATTCTGATTATTTGTGCCTTCCCTCTTTTTTTTTCCCTGATTAATCTTACTAGGGATTTACCAGTTCTATGACATCTTTTCAGACTCAGCATTGGCAAATATATGCTTATATTGTGTTACATATTTTCTATCTTATTAATTTCAGTTCTTCGTATTTCCTCCCTTCTACTTTTTTTGGGTTTCGTTTATGTTTTTCTTCACTAATTTCTCAGATTAAAACTGAGCTTATTGATTTTAGCTTTTTTCATTTTCCATTATATAATTTTAAAGTGAAAAAAAATCACTTTAAGTATGGCTTTACATGCATCATAAAAGATTTGAGCTAAGTGTTCTCATTTTCATTATTAGAAAAAAAAACTGTAACATACTGTAAAATTGCAATTGTTTGTTAAATTTTTTTCCATGAGAAGTATACACATTTTAAATGTTTCATATGTACTTGCAAGGGCTCTGAAGCAAGGTGCAGTGTTCCAAGTATGTCCATTAAATCAATTTTCATAATCATGTTGTCCACATTTTCTATACTACTGTTTTTTAAAAGTCTATTTGTCCTATGATATTTGTGGATATTTAGTTGTCCTCATAGTTCTGAATACTTTTGCTTCTAATCTTTTGGGATAATATGTATTTTTATAGTTTCCAAGTGAACTGGATCTTTCATCATGATAAAGTCAACCTTCTTTATCTCTAGCAAGTTTTTTAATAGTAATGTCTATTTTACCTGATAGTACTGATAATATGACTATCTCGGCCTTTTTCAGGTTTGAATGGTATATTTTTTCAATCTTTTAAATCTCCTCATACTTAAGAAGTATTGCTTGGTTTAGTTGGTTTTTAATAATTCAGTTAACAGTTGGTCTTTATTTTAACTAAAGCATTTAGGCCACATACATTTAATGTAATTACCAAAATACTGTGTCATAAATCTCGTATATTTTTTCATCCCTATTTTTACCTCCTGTTCCATGTTCCCTTTGCTCTCTGTTCTTCTGTTAGTTGATGCTGTATTAAAAAGAAATTCTTTCCATAAATCTTTCCATTAGTTGCATTTGGCTTTAAAAATTATTCTAGTTCACCTTAAAATTTGGAATCCTTAATCAGAATCTAATGGTACTTTCTTCCAGATAATACAAGTGTCTTGGAACTCTTCACTTTTATGTCCCTCCAGATTTATACACTCATTTTGTGGTTCAGTTCAGTTGTTCAGTCATGTCTGACTCTGTGATCCCATGGACTACAACACACCAGGCTTCCCTGTCCATCACCAACTCCCAGAGCTTACTCAAACTCATGTCCATCAAGTCAGTGATGCCATCCAACCATCTCATCCTTGTTGTCCCCATCTCCTGCCTTCTCCATTTTGTGGTATATAAAATATATATACATATATATATACACACACACTTTAAATTTCACAATGAATTATTTTTATTATTTTGTATATTCAACATTCATTAGATTTACATACACATTTATTGCCTTTTTTTTTTTTTTTTTGCTTCTTTCTCCTCCCCTGCACCTATAACCTTTCTGGACTCAGTTTCCTTTTTGGGGGGAATCATTTTCCTTTTATCTAAAAAAATCCTTCATAGTTTCCTTTTAGTAAGAATATGTTGGTGGTGAACTTTCACAGTTTCTAATCTGAAAACAACTTCATTTGCTTTCAGTTCTGATGGGTAGTTACGCTGGGATTAGAATTTTAAGTTGTATTTATTTTCTTTCAGCACACAGAACATGTTTGTCATCTGGCTTTCATTGCGACTGTCAAGAAGTTAGCAGTCAAACTTTTGCCTCTTTTTAGGTACTAGTTTTCTCCTGGCTAATTTTAAAATTCTGTCTTTTTTTTTCTTCCAATTTCAATATGACGTATCTAAATGTGTATTTCTTTGAATCATGTTTTTAAATTATTGGGGTTCCTGAATCCTTGATATCTTTCATAATTTTTGACAAATGCTCTGCTAAAATTTTCTTCAAACTTATGCTCTCCCATCTCCCTTCTTTCTGGGACTCCAAAAAATGTATATGAGTCCCTTTCCCTCTTATTCTCTTTTATGTATATTGGTCCTTTTCTTTCTCTGTATTTCATTCTGGGTTTCCTTCCATTCTATCTTCCAGTTCACTGGTTCTCTAATTTAACTATATTTAATCTTCTGTCAAACTCATCTATTTAGGGTCTTAATTTTTGTTGTATTTCTCAATTAAGGAATTTCCAATTATTTCCTTTTCAAATCAGTTATTCTACTTTTTATAGTTTCTAGTTTAGTTGAAAATCTAAAATTTTCAAATTTGTTTTTAACTCTTTGAACATAATAAGCATACCTGTTTTGAGTTAATATCTAATAATTCCAGTATCTGGATATTTGTTGCCTGTTCTTTGTGTTGATTCTTGCTTACAGTGTCTTGTCTCCTCACATCCTCTCTGATTATGTGCTAGACACTATATTTGAAAAATTATTATGGGATGGTTTGTTTCCTCTGGTTCCCTCTTATTCCTAGAGTGTATCCCTTAAGATTTTTTGCCTATCTGGTATAAAGACTACTTTACACCATTAAAGTAGTATACTTCACACTGTCCCTGACATGCCTTCTTTTAAAGGCCCTCCTCATTCCCTCTTGCCTCTTCACAACCTCCAACCTCTCACTCTAGAGCCTCATCCTCAGCGTCCACACAGTTGGTAGGCCTGGTGCTCCAACTTTTATGGCCTTTGCCCTGCAAGAGTATATAAGTGGAGCAGAGCCTCTCAGCTGCCTTTTCCAGACTGGCATAAGAATGTGTAACCTACAGAACCACCTTTCCCAAGATTTTAAAATCAAAGAAATTTGGAAAGTAGTTTTGGCCAATATATATATAGTTATGAAATATATAGTGCAGCTGAAGTTAGAGATATCTGAAATAAAACTTATCACATCATTAATAAAAGAATGGAATTTGAGTTAAACAGCTAGCAATTAAATAATACCAGAAAAAAATGGAAAAAGCCTACATGATCAAAAATCAAGAGGTGCGTTTATTTTCTCACCGTTTTCTGCCAATGGAGCAAGAACTTCAAAAACCATTTCCCTCTTATCATGCTCTATTTGCTTCTTGAAGAGTTTCACCAGCTCTTCAGCAATGTTTGTACTGGCAAACTGTTCTTTACTTGACTCTGTAAAAATTAAGAGGAAAATTTAGAGTAAGAAAACAAAATTAAGCACAGAAACTGTTTTCTATTACTTTCAATACTTGGTCATTTTGTATCATTACTGATAAATGAAAACACTCTTCAAATACAGAAAACAGTCCTTTTTTTTTTTTTTAATGCCTCTGTAGAGGAAAAATGTCTAAAGCTTTAAGATGTTCTGACCCAATTATATTCAAGGCTATAAAAAAAAAATGTTCGCTAGCATAACATATAGGTAACCATAGCAATGGTAAAATTACTGTTATAAATTCATTGTTTCAAGGCTTTTAGCCAAAGAAGAAAAATTACTCATAGCAGATTGCATTTCACATGGCTGAATTAAAGGTGACTTGTTTTTATACCATTAGAGTGGTATACTTTCACACTGTCCCGGACATGCCTTCTTTCTTTTCTCCGACCTTTCACTCTAGAGCCTCATCCTCAGCATTTAAATATGCTTTAATATTTCTCACAAAAAAAGCAATATTAAAACCAAATACCTTCCCTTTACTCCACTTTCATGAAGCTACCATCCAGTCTGTTGAATTTCACAAACAAGTTTCTTGACGGCACTGTCTACATACACTGTCTCTACTTCCTCAACTCACATGCATACCTAAACCCGCCTCAGACCAGTTTGGGCCCACCTCTACCTTCTGCAGTCTCCTCTGCATGCTCCTCCTTTCCACCAGACCAGTATAAATTCTAGTTCCTTGAGACTTCATCTTCTGCTTTCTTACCTTTTTGATCCTTACTCTCACCCTAGGCAATCTAATTTTTTTCCATAGCATAAAAATACCTCCTATATGTTGATGCTTATACAATCATACCTCTAGCCCTCTTCTTAACTCCAGGCTACTTAAATGTCCATTTGACATCTCCATTTGAATATCTTTCTAGCATCCAAACACCATGCCTAAGGTAGACTTCTGATATTCTGATATGTCTGTTCTTTCTCCAAACACCATGCCTAGTGTAGACGTCTGATATTCTGATACGTCTGTTCTTTCTCCAAACACCATGCCTAAGGTAGACTTCTGATATTCTGATATGTCTGTTCTTTCTCCAAACACCATGCCTAGGGTAGACGTCTGATATTCTGATATATCTGTTCTCTCTCCAGAGTTCCTTGATTTAGTGAATAAACATGCCACCTACCTACCTGCCACACATGCAGAAACCTGGGGGTCATCGCTCACTTGTTCTCTCTCAGTATATCCACAGAATAACCAAAATCTATCAGTCTACCTCCAAAATACAACCAGAATCCAGTCTATTTCCTTTCTGATTCTCAGTTCTTTTGCTGCATCAGATATCCTATCAATTTATCTAAAGTTTCTCTCAGAGAATCGACCAGTCTAGTCAAGACTGCTTGGTCTCCATGTCTGCTGGGCACTGACATCCTGGAATTCCTTTTTCATGATCTTGATGGATATTTTCTTCTCCTTCCTGTATTAGATACTCTATTACCTCTGTTCATTCACATTCAATTTTTTAGTTTCAGTGGACACATCCACCAGCAACTTTCTGAGAAAGGTAAACTACACTGTTTGAAGAAGATGAATATTTGGAAATTTTAACTGTCTGAAATGTTCCTTCCCACCTAGAGTGTACATCTGTAATTTAAATTCCTTCCTTACCTCATTCAATTATGTCCTCATAATAGCAATTATTGTAACTTACAATTATATGCTTGTTTATAAGTTCATTTTAGAAATAAGTTTCCACATCACCTACTAAAATATAAGCTGCTTGAGAGCATGACCACCACAAACACAGCATACAGTATGGTGCCTAGTACAGAGCAAGTGTTCAAAAGAAATTTGTTGATTTTTTGAATGTGTGACTGAAAAAACAAGTAAATGAGTGCAAGAGTTACATTCTATTCTCTAGTTTCTGATAAATCTCCTCCAATATCAAATAAAAAATATTACAAATTCAACTTTAAAAGAAAATGGAGAAACAAATATTTATATTTGTTTAAAACAGTTTTGATTTACTCTACTGTTACGCTGCTTTTGGCACATGTACCAGACCTATCCCAAAATGATGTGAATCCAGTCCAAGACTTCAAAGTAAGATTCATTAGTGCTACAAAAAAAAAAAGCAAAGGGTGGAGTGTCTTTTCTAATAAGCTACCTAAACCCTCAGAAACCAAATTTTACAAACAACACACCTTACCCAAAAAGTTAGTTTGATTTAAACAGGAATGATTTAATTCCTCAACATTTGCGGTTGCTCTTCTGTTTCACACAATTCTTCAAATAAATGAAACATAAAATCATAGATGAAATAGACATGATTTATCTAGTTATGTACTCTCAACTCTTTTTAAAATAGTTGAAGCACTTTTTTCCAACCCATATTTTATTCTTCCACTTATTAAACTGAAACAAAATCACCGTGTTAAGTAATTCAGTCCATTTGCCAGCACAAGGGAACAATGCACCATGATTAATATAGGAATTCATGAAGAAAACCTGATCACATCCTGTAGGTGGATACAGAGAAAAGACAGCATGAACCGTGATTTGGACATTATACTTGATTTAAATGCCACCAGATCCTTAAGACTTTCAGCAAGAAGGATTTTTTCCTAAGGGTTTATTTCTAAAGTTTTGTTTTTGGGTTTTTTTTTTTTTGATGTGGACCATTTTTTAAAAAGTCTTTATTGAATTTGTTACAATACTGCTCCTGTTTTATACGTTTTGGTTTTTTTGGCTGTGAGGCATGTGGGGTCTCAGCTCCCCAGCCAGGAACTGAACCTTCATCCTCTGCATCAGAAGGTGAAGTCTTAACTATTGGACAGCCAGGGAAGTCCCCCGTTAAGGGTTTATTTTTTAACAAAATTATATATGAGTTTAAAGAGTTAGTTCCAATACTTACATTACTGGCAGAATCCAGTCCCCCTTTCCCATTTCTTCTTCAAAAACAAGCACATAAAGCTCTTTTAGCTAATTCACTGATATTTACCTCCAAAAACATTTTATATTGACAATTTTTGCTTTTTTAGTTTTAGGTATTTTTGATTGACTTTCCACTATGAAAGATGAAGCACTAGCTTTCTCTTTTTCCTGTCTCCACAATAACCTACATCTTTACAGTGTAATTATACTGTAATTTTGGCTTGAAGTAATTAGTGTTTCAATAATATACTGCTCCATGTGGCCTGGAGTTAGTTTTATTTCCTTGGAATTACTTTTTTTTTTCTCATTTACTTAGCTTTCAATGTACTTATTAATTCAACTCCAAACTCTCCATCAGTTGTCTGATTTTTTTTCTTAATAAGAACATTCTCTTTAGGTGCTCAATTAATTTCATCTTGTGTAAGAGTTTCCCCAGTCTGGACTGGTTGCTCTTTGAAAACAGGACATTTGGGGCTGTCATGTCATCATACTATTAGAAACTCCTATTTTCCTGTTGAATCTCTCATCTCCTGATTCCTACATAATCTTATTATTTATATCCCTTGTTTCACTGGAACACATCTTCCAGAGGCTTCCAGGAAAGATATAAAGGATACCAATTTTCTGAGACATTCATGTTTAACACTGTCCCTATTTTTACCTCACACTTGACTGATGATGTGCATATAGAATTCTATACTGGAAATTATTTTTCCTCAAATTTTTGAAGGCAACAACATTCCAGTTTCTTTTGGTTACCAGTGTTCTTTTGATACTTCTGATGTCTACTGATTCACAATCTTTTCTATGTAACTTTTTTCCTTCCTCTCTCTCTCTGGAATTCTATGAAATGTTCCCTTTGTCCCCATTATTCTAAAATTTCACATTGGTGTGCCGTAGTCTGCAGGCCTAATTTCATCCACTAGGCTGTCATTTGATAAGATTCTTCCAATCTGGAGAAATATATATATTTTAGTTCTGTGACACTTGGGTTTATTCAGCAATTTTTTCCTATTTATCTCTTCCTAGAACTCTTAGACTGATCCTCTATCTACAAACTCTCTTCTATTTTCCATACCCTTGCTTTTTGCTTTACTTCTGTAAATATATCTTCTGTACATTTTATTGTCTTTCATTCTAGCTGTTTTAGCTTTCTCGCTCTGTTCCTTTTTCTTTAAAAATAGCATCCTGTTATAGTTTCATGCTTACAGTATTTTTCTATTTGAGCATATTAGAGTTCCCCCCCTCCCCCCTGCATAGTTTCTATTTCCTCCAAGTTACTTTTGTAAAATTTCATTATTTCCCATGTTCAGGCTGTCCTCACTTTTCTAGTTGTCTGCCACTGATTAAGAACTGGGATTTAAAAACTGATTAGGATCTATGAGTGGCCTTTTAAGATTCCCTGTAGATCTGAAGGCTCTGTGTAGAAGAACTCCAACATAAGTATCTTTAAGTCCATATTCTAGAGAATAAATGGGATAGTTCCGCATACCTACTTTCACTATTTTCAGAATGGTACTCTAGTACCTCTCATTAATCTGCTGTCCCCAGTCTACCCTCTACCCTGAGTCTCTCTACAGAGTAAACATAGTCTTCTGCTTAGACGGGAAGGCCAGTTACCAGAGTGGGAAGGGAAAGAAACTCTTGATGCCACTAAACCCTGAAACTTTTGAAGACACCAAAAAACAACTGGTTAGTGCTTGGCTTTCCAATTCAGGATTCAAATTTCAAAGTTTTGCTAAGTGAGTTATTGCTTTTTTTCTTTCCAGGTTCTAAAAAGTTTTTATATTATCCCTTTTGTTTGTTTTCCCTCCCCTTTCCTTGATGGTTTTGTATAAAAAAAAAAAATCTCTTTACTGTAGTTTTAGTTGGTTTCCACAAGGGAGTAAAAGTACAGATTTTCATTCTAACATTTCTATCCGCCCCCCAAAATACTAATATTTTAAGCAGACAAGTTTATTTATAAAAGATTGTGAAGCCAGACAAAAAGGGGGAAAATCTCATTCTGCTTAATCTATAATGTTTATAAGCATGCAAACTTTAAAACTGGATTCATCCTATAGTTGTGAATATAGAATAATAATGTGTGCACATAAACTAGGAATCAAAAATAAAAGGGCTGCACATTCCTTTTCTACCCCCAATCCTGAACTAGACTGCATTCATTTATTTTCTATTTTATCTTTAAGCTATATCTTTAGTGAGCAAAAACACATAAATTTCTTAGCTCCAATTGTAAACAATATAATCCTAAAATGTAATTGGATCTACACTTTAACACTGAAACAATGTATCTATGATGCTTCAAAAAAAATAAACTAAGAGAATCTAAATGGATTTCCAGGTTAACATCTAAAGAAAAATGTATTTTAAGTATATTAATCAGTTATGAATAATTACATTTTGGTTTATGCCTAGGACTTACCAAGTTCTGCTAAGTTGCCGAAGGCAACAAGACACATTTCTGTAAGAGCTGCATTTTGGCAGTGGATGCCCAGTAACTTAACTAAGGTAGGAATAACACCCATGTTGATAAGCTGAGCTTGAAGGGAATCTGTTAAAAAACAAACAAACAAACAAACAAGAAAACAAAACACAAAAAAAGTATTTACGTATTAACTGGACATTAGTAAGAAGAAAACACCTCTTATACTCCCTACTGCAAACACAATACTATTTCATATTATTTCAATTATGGTAAAGCAAGGTTAAGTCCACTCGTAAGTCTTGAAAATGTTTTAAGACATTAGTTCAAAGGAACTGAATTTTGAAACTTTTCAATGAAATTTTCAAAGAAATTTAGAAATGACAATAATTCAAGTAATATGTCAAATCACCAGTTTTTTTTTTTAATGGTCTTATACCTTTACTAAGTAGGTTTTAAAATGCATAAACAATTAAATATTACCATTGGTTTTTAAGTTAAAAGGTTAGACAAAGTAACATTTGCATAACAGGAAGACACAGAGTATATGAAAAGCATAAGAAAAAAAGCAACTTTAATAAAGACTAAGAAGATAAAAGTCTTAGAACCCCTTAGAAACAGTTGCTTTATAATAAAGAATGAAAAATATATAACACACTCAAATTATTTATTTGCAGCGGAGTGTTCTTTGATGACTGTTAGGAAGGAAAGTTTTAACAAGGAAAAAAATCTGGTTACTTAAAATATTTCTCTTTTCAAAGTTTTATTTAATAATAGTGACAATCATCTTAGGAAAGAAAGGAAGATTTGGCTTGAGAGGTAAAGAGGTCAATATGGCTTTGTTATTGCTTGCCTTCATCTTCTAAGAAGCTAATTGATTTTAAAGTACTTAATATGCCCCGGATTTTCACAACGGCTCTTCATGAACAATGATAATAGAATACCTGTAGCAAAGTTGAAGGCAAGTAAACCAAAATGAAAACCAAAAGTACTGCCTCTGAGAATAAGATAAGAAGACACTCATATGCCTATGCAAAACACTATCACTACTAATAGCTGGTTCATCTAAAGATAGAGGAGAGTTTTCAAAATTTTTTTCTTTTCCTTTTAAAAATTATATGCCATTTTCAAGTTAATAATTTTCTCCAAATTTTTTTAATGTATTTGTTTATCTAAAGATAAAAGTCTGTTTCTTACAAAACACATTTTCCTCACAGCATGCATCCTTTGATGGAGTTTGTGTACTAATCTCTTTACCACTCTTCAGAGTTCTTAAGCTTCCCCGTGGCTCAGTGGTAAAGAATCTGCCTGCCAGTGCAGAAGATGTGGGTTGGATCCCTGGATTGGGAAGATCCCCTGGAGAAGAACATGGCAGCCCACTCCAGCATTCGTGCCTGGGGAATCCCTTTGGCAGAGGAGCTTTGAGGGCTACAGACCAAGCAGTTGCAAAGAGTCAGACATGACTAAACCATAACAACAACATAGTTCTTAACCTGTAGATAAGGAGATGGTTGGGTGATTATCAGAAAGAAAAGGTAAGGTTGAGCTGTCTCACATGCCAGTTGATTACTTGCCTAGAGGTCTGTATAGTTAATTTTTCCTGCTTTTAGAGTCAAATATGAAGAGATAGCCAACAGAGGCTTGTCAGCCCTGAAAACTGATGGTAATTGTGGATATTATCTGGCTTAGTTGGGGCGGGGGGGTCATCTATACTAGAAAGAGACTTATTACCAAAATAAGAATAGAAAACAAATCCTGAGACAAGTGAAGTTTACATTGAGAGTTCAAATAGTCTAAAACAATTTCAAATTTTGCAGTGGAATTATGAAGTCTGTTCTAAAAGGACATATATATAAAAGAATGTATTCAATTAAATGATTCATTTTTATGCTTCTGATGCTAATTATTTTTTCTAACTATACAATTCAGTAATTAATGACTCACAACACTTACATTATCTTACAGGCAAATCACCTATTATACCTATAGTATTATACATATTATAGTATATTATATTGGCAGAATATTTGTATTTTGGTTATAGTATTTATAAAGATCATGCACCAAGAAGCTTTCCAAGTTAGAAATTATTTTGGTTACTTACCAGTTGATAGAGTGCCTTATAATTAGATCACCTCTGCAGATCCTTGTTCTTTAGCAATATTTTTATTTATTTATTCGTTTTGACTACCTCTTCAAATACTGCAGAGCTGCTGAATCATTAAATCTCAGGTATGTAAGCGTGAGCACTAGCGCATGCATTGAGTGAGTCAAACTCCACTATATGTCTGCATATATGTAAGCATCACACACCCCCTCAGTACTGTTGGTACAAACTGAAAATCCAACAGTCCAGGGACATTAGAGGAATAACAAAATATAGGAAGGAGATAACAGGAGAATGCCACTTAAATGCTCATGTTTTCTGAACTTGGCATCTCTACCACTTGCTTTGACTACTTTTACAACATTACTGATTTTGGTTCCAGGGATAAGAGGGCCAAAAAAAAAAAAGAAACATTACAGAGTTTCATACAATCTGTGGCATACAAACTGAAGCAGCAATATTTGAAATTGTGGTAGGTAAGCAGAAATTGTAGCATAGTCCAATGGCATATGGTATAAATTGCCATAATTCATGAAAATCACATTGCTTCATGAAACTGTGTTTTCAAGCTACCCAGGAGCCAAATTAATTGTGTATTCACATACAACACACATACCACACACAAGTAAAGAGAAAAAATATATAGTCATCCAATACACAGGTCTCATTTTAGACCACTTGGGTGCCCATCTTTTATATCCATTTCTATGAAGGTAACTAAAACAAAAGTTACACTCAAATAATTCTAAAATCTGTTTATGCCAATTGCAGCCAAGTCATTCTCCTTTGTTAATGGAGGCCCAGAAGAGGGAAATATCTTTACTTAAACAAGCTGATACAAATTTTCATCTCAATATAGGCAGGCATCCTAGAACATGGTTCTCAAAATGGAGTCCCAAAAACCCTTTCAGAGGATCACCAGGTCAAAATTACTTTCATAAAAATACCAAGATTTGATTTGCCTTTTTCACTGTGCTGACATTTCCATTGATGGCACGACAACAGTAGTGAGCAAAACTGCTGGGGGCATTAGTATGAACCCAGTCAATGGCACCAAAATGTATCAGTAGTCACTGTATTCTTAACATCACACATTCACAGTAAAATAAATGCTGTTCTTTTCAGCAATTAAAGAAATTTAACTTATTTTTTCATAAAAAGATTCTATTTATGTTGACCTATAATGGGTTTTTATTATTTGAAAAGTGTGATACTAATTTTTAAAATGCCTTCATTTTAATTTCTAATATAATATTGACAGATATAACCTATACATATGAACAAAAATTCTTTGAGATCTTTGGTAATTTTTAAGTGTCTAAAAGAGCCCTGAGATCAAAAGTTTAAGAATCACTGCCAATGGATTACTTAATTTTTACAGGAACTGGGGGAAAAAATATAGAAAAGAGATCTAAAATTCAATGATATGCTTGGCAGATGTGACAAAAGAAAGAAATTAAAAGCATGGTAGGAATCCTAGATACTGGTGCTTAGATATTTTGAGTGAAATAACATCAATTAAGCACCAGAACACCTCATTTTGCTTATATGAGTAGATATTCTACTTAAGTCTAGGAGAATATTCCATGTTTAGATCTGGTTGCCTATTTCAGTTACAACTTACTATATTATCAATACATAGTTCTTTTGAGGGTTAAATGGAGCTCCTGTTTGTGTGGAATAAATTAGTATTAGTTCTTATTGCTGGAAGCAAATGATTAAGTTGAATGACTTTTTCTTATTGCCCAAAGAAAGCTGTTCATAGACTTCAAAGGACATGGCTGACACTCATGCTATTGTGAACGGTATCAGGGATAGGACTCATAAATTAAAGACTAACTGGAAGAAATCCTCAGAACCAGTTCACATTCTCTAGATACATTTGAGAGAATAAGAGACACAATTCAAGACTGAGACTTATTGCATCCTTCAATGAATACCAGAAACTCCAAAAGAATGTCAGAGTTCAACAAATACATTTCACAAGAATGCAACCCAGGCCCATACATAGCAAACACGTATGTGTGAAAGACAGTCTTTAGACAGGACAACGTCATAAATGTCTGAAGACTTGTAAAAATTGCTCCTGACACACATCACAGACAAATACTGACCAAAATACAGAATTACAAAATTACATAATATCAAGATGACACAGGCCCTGCATGATCTATGGGGAGGAAGAGGAAGAAAGGCACTGAGGGGGTGCAATACAGATGCATATACAAAGAGATATAGAAGGCAATCAACGCATGCGCTGGTGTGAACACTTACCTACCTACATTTGAATTTCAATGGTTCCAAGTTCTTCAGGTCACACACACATGGAAACTCCAAAGAATGGAGATCTGGAGAGAAGATCTCAAGTTGAAGAACCTTTTTCCCCCTGAGTTTTCAGTTTAATGTTTCAAACATTGGTATAGATTATAGGGCCAGAAAAGTATGCCAAGAATTCTAGTAACTCAACTGAAGTTACGTGGATCAATTACTAAAAAGTATAGGTTTTTAACGAAGATAACACGTTTATCTTATTCCTAAGAAAAGGTCCTTACAATGTTATAAAATTATTAAGCTGATTAATAGGACATAATGAAGAAACTGTGTCAAAGTAACACACACATATAGACAATTCAAAAGACACAGGCTCTACATTAGTATATAGATTTGGTATGTATAGTATTCATAGTATAAAGAGTACAACAGTCCTATTTATAAGCTTGCATAAAAACCACATCTATAGTCTAATTATATACAGTGGAAACAATAAAAACAAGCAAATATAAATTCTGATGAGTTGGATAAAAATCATTTGGGTATAATAAAGACCCAAAAAACTGCCCTTTACTAATGGCACATCTATATTTCCAAAAATATATATAAAAGAAAAATTATATATGATGTAACAGTGCAGTATAATTTGTGAGCTGAAGCAAGTTGTAGCTCTATAATCATGCTGAAAAGTAAACTGACTTAAATACAGCAACCAAGAGGATGGTCTGTGGTTAAAAATTTTATACATACA